CCAAATTTAATAGCAAATGGGAATTTCTTTTTTTTTTTTTGAGACAGAGTCTCACTCTGTTGCCCAGGCTAGAGTGCTATGGCGTAAGCCTAGCTCACAGCAACCTCAAACTTCTGGGCTCAAGCCATCCTCCTGCCTCAGCCTCCTGAGTAGCTGGGACTACAGGCACTCGCCGCCATGCCCGGCTAATTTTTTCTATATATATTTTTAGTTGTCCAGCTAATTTCTCTCTATTTTTAGCAGAGATAGGGTCTCACTCTTACTCAGGCTGGTCTCGAACTGCTGAGCTCAAACGATCCACCCACCTCGGCCTCCCAGAGTGCTAGGATTACCGGCATGAGCCACTGCGCCCGGCCAGCAAATGGGAATTTCTTACCATCAAAAATAGAGGAAAGTTCAGCACATTCAGTTAAACACTTCTATCTTCTGCTTTAAACCATATCAAGAAACTAATGCAAAAGTTTAAATGTCTTATGTTGTAATTCATGAAATATAAGATTATCTTCCTGAGTAAGATATTTCAAGGTGCCAGTTTTTGCATCTTCTCCTAATAGCAGAAGTACCCACTGTTCTTGGAGAAGAAAGAACTAAAACCTGCCAAACCTCAAAAGTCATGATGGCTTTCAGGTCTGAGAAAAAGCTGATCTCTTAGTTACTTGCCTACTTCCTGCTTGTACTTAAAGATTGAGGGTAAAGTTTGTTGAGCATTTTCCAGAGAGAACTTTTAACTTCCTTGTTCCTAAGGCTGTAGATCAAGGGATTCAGCATGGGGATCACCACCGTGTAAAACACAGATGCTATTTTGTCTGTGTCCATGGACTGGCCAGAGCTGGGCTGTAAGTACATGAAGATGATGGTGCCATAGAAGATGGACACTGAGGTGAGGTGGGAAGCACAGGTGGAGAACGCTTTCTTCCGTCCTTCGGCAGAACGCATCCTTTGAATGGCAATGTATATGAAGATGTAAGAAACGAGGATGACCACGAGGGTGAAGAAGACATTGAAGCCCACGACAAAGAAGACAACCAACTTGCTGATGCGTGTATTGGAGCATGAGAGAGCCAGAAGTGGGGGAATGTCACAGAAAAAATGATTAATCTCATTAGAACCACAGAAGGAGAGCCTGAAGGTGTCTGCCGCATGGATAGAGGCATTGAGGAAGCCGCAGACATAGGAACTGGCGGTCAGGAGGGCACACACACCTGCTGTCATGGTGGTGGTGTAATGGAGAGGCCTACACACCGCTGCGTGGCGGTCATAGGCCATGGAAGCCAGGAGGTAGCACTCGACAGTGGCAAACCCCGCAAAGAAGAAGAACTGAGCTACACATCCCTTGTAGGAGATGACCTTGTTCCCTGACTGCAATGCAGCCACCATCTTGGGAGCGACAGCTGATGAATAACCCAGATCTACAAAGGAGAGGTTGCTGAGGAAGAAGTACATTGGTGTGTGGAGATGGGAGTCTGAGTGGATGATCACCATCATCCCCCCATTCCCAACCAGGGTGATGAGGTAGATGAATAAAAATATCAAAAGGAGGGGAACCTGAAGATTGGGGTCATCTGTTAATCCCACGAGGATAAACTCTGTCACTTCTGTGCTATTCTCCATTGCAGTCAGCTTGAATTTAGCCTGATGATTAAAGAATAGGAGTCAACAAAACTCACATGAAAGTATAAGAGGGACAGTGAGATAATATAAAACCAATATATATTGAGAATATACTATGTGTAAGACATGCTAGATCCTTCCATTACATTATAACATTTAATCCTATGAGATAGGTGCTATTATGCCCATTTTACAGATAAGGAAGTTAGGGCTCAGAAAGCTGAATATAGAACAAGATAATCTAATTAGTAGGACTCAGAATCAAAGTTCACCCCTTCATATTTCTGAATCCAAAAGCCATCCACTCAGAGCT